GGCACCAGACCATACATGCCAGCAATACTCCATGCAAGGGCTTAATTGTTGATTTGGAGGATCAACTCAGGGAGAAAACTTCCTGGCACGGCTCAGGGAGCCAACTTTCCTTGCGGTGGACGAGGCAATTGACTCAATGTATTTATTCCAAAATCAAGTGTTAAAAGTGTAAAGGCCCTGTTTTATGGTATAGAAATGAGGTTTGATTGATTTGAATAATCATTCGGTACAAAAATGGGTAAAATAGGGTTAAGTTCTGAAAAATTATCTGGATTGAAGGTTGGGGTATATTGTATTGACCCTTAATATTAAATTTGAGTATTATGAACTTTTATCAACATTCTGTAACTGAAGTTGGGGGGGGGGATTATACTTATTAGAGCTTTATTTTCAAATGCCATCTGAATGAGAAATTCTATTTAGTCATGAGCAATATTTTCTAATGCTGCATTTTGAATTGCTCAAGTTTACATTGTTTTAACCCACTTTCTTGCAACTGCATTAATTGAACAGTTTGCAGTAATTTATTGGCAATTACTCCCTACAGCAATATTGAAACCAACAGTAACAATGTAAAATGTTGTCATTTGAAAGATCGATATATAATAAAAAAAAAATTTTTTTACGCTACTGTTAAGATCAAGTAGACTATACCAGTACTGATAGTGACTAAAACTTTAAACAGAAAGCACCTAATAAAGATTGACTTAACTACTGAAATCATAAACAAGTTTGTTCACCAATACTTTGCAGTAAGAATCTATTCCCCATCAAACTAGTTTGACAATTGTGGCACTAGAGATTGTATAAAACTGGAATAGATAATTCAAATTATAGTGCTACCAGGATTTAATGATTAAATTGAGTTTTTCAGAAAACAAACTGAAGATTTAAAGAAAAAAAATGACAAAGACACTCATTTCTAGAAAGCATTTATTAATACTCTCCATTTAGTTGTAAATTTACATATATTACATTTTTTTTTTTTTAAATAAAAAAAATAAGTCACAAAAGGACAGAAGCAGACATTTTAGTTTCATACCAAAACAGCACATGATCCAGGAGTTGGTTGATGTAAGTGAAATGTTTTGACAAGGTACTTACTATTCACTGAGACTGCAATAGGAAAGTATCTGAAGTATGGCTGTAAAGCAAATGCAACCAAGCTCCAGATTTGTTTCATTATGTTGTATTTTTGTATATTATCTTCTGGGCAGTTGTGGTCATTGAGCAAATAGAGAACACCTTATCATATGAATGATGATCAGCCCACCCCCACCCATGGTGAACCCATACACACATGTTGATGACATCTGTTACTATCCTTATGTAACTTCTCCCTAAAGTTCTCCACCATGATCAGGTTCACTGTCCTGTTCCTGGAATAACAAGGAAAACATTTTCAATGGTTTACAAGTAGAATGCTTAAATCATTCATACAATAAAATAAAATCACTTTGAAAAATTTGTACAAATATCAAATACATACTGGTTTTTTGGCTTCTTCCTCTTCTTCCTCCTCTTCCTCCTCGTCATCATCCTCCTCCTTTTTCTCAGCATCTACAATTAAAAGAAGCAAGCATGAGTTTCTCCAGTCTAAATGAGAAGTCTTCCAGGGCTATTTTAAATTCACTTTGAGAAACCAAGTTTGTCAGCAAGTACAAAGGAGCTTTTTACCAACTAAAATGGGATCAGGGTGGAGGGGTGTTGGTTATGTTGCATGCAAGAGAGAAAAAAAAAAAAAAAAAAAATGCTCATTACATACCTTCATCTTTCATTTTCTTCTCTTCCTCCTCTCGGGTTTTCCTTTCTTCCTCCTCTTGTTTGTCTTTCATTTTCTTTTCAGGACCCTTTAAAAAAATTAAATAGAAAAAAGTATATTAAAAAAGTATATTAAAAAAGCAGAAAGAAACATTTAAATTTGTCTCATGAAAGAAATAAAAATATTAAAAAAAAAAAAATTAAATCTAACCTTCGTCTTCATCCAGGTATTTTTGGCATGTTCTTCTGCATCTTCTACACTGTCAGTGACAATCAAGTTATCAAAAATTGTTCCAGATTTTACCTAGAAAAAAATGAGAATTCATTAGCCAAAACCACATGTAATCTACATATCTTACACAAGACTTAAGAACCTGTACTAACAGCTGTTGCAGCTAAAAGCAAAAAATTATTAAACGGCCTCTTTGCAATGTTAGGCATCACAAATTGATAAACATTTATCTCGTACTTAGTTATAAATCAGAAGTGGACCATCGTTTTAAGAAGAAAAAAAAAAAAAAAAAAAAAAAAAGTAGTTTATAGTTAAAGTTGATGAAATAGAAATAAATGCTCATTCCAAAATATTAGTTTTAAGAACAAAAGGACAAAATACAAATTTTATGAAAGATCTAACACTTACTTGCCACAAATCAAAACCAACAGCACCAATGTCAGTGTATTTGTAAAGATTGTCATCAGGAGAATAGTCAGGGTTATCAATTTCAGGATGGATCCATTCACCTTTGTAATTAGGGTTGTCAATCTGCTTGGGTTTCCATTCACCCTAAACAAAGCATAAGATTTATAATTAAGTATATTATGATTACATATTCTTGTCAGATTAATATCACTATTTTGACTAATTATTATATATATATATATATATATATATATATATATATATATATATATATATATATATATATATATATATATATTATATATAAATTCAGATAAATTACATTAAAAATTAAAAAAGGGAAGTAAAAGATTTTTTTTTTTAACTCCCTGATAAACTGCTTTTTATAAATAAAATTTACAGGAAACATTACAAATTTGCTATGGCAGTGGAACAAACAAGACAGGAGGGGGTGGAGAAATTTGCATAAACTTGCCTTGTAGGCAGGGTTATCAATCATGGGTGGCTCCCATTCACCATCCATGTCATCATCCCAATCATCAGGCTTCTTAGCATCAGGATCAGGAATGTGTTCAGGTTGGTCCCAATCATCAGGTTTTTTGTCATCAGGATCATCCATCTTTTCACGATCATCCCAGTCCTCTGGCTTTTTAGCATCAGGGTCCTGAAAGTATTTAGGACAAGTTTGAAGACAAACATCAATCCTAAAACATTGTGGTTATGTGACATTTAAATACACCATTAAGTAGTGCACATTCAAACTGCACAATTAAGTTTTTACCTTGATTTTTTTAGGTGGTAAGAAATCCCAATCAGACTCCAAATCACCACTTTCAACTTTCTCATTATCAATTCTCACTTCATAAGTACTGTCTGGCTTCACAATCAGTGTGTACAAGTGAGTGTAGACATCATCCTGAAAATATAAAGTAAATCTCTAAAAGTCATACACAAAGTATGAAATTCCAAATGCAAATATTTTCCAAGTTTTAGAAAAAAAAAAAAAAAAAAGATTTTTTTTACAACTATTACCTATGATAGATACATCAAGGACTTGAGCCCTTAAAACAAACATGCACACCCTAAATTACGCCAACTGGACTGAGTATCATATTGAATAATCCTTCTGCCAATATTAATTCATAGAAAAAACATCTTACCTTGCAACGGATATCTTTCTTGGTCAGCAAAACCTTCCCTTTGTAATTGAAGATAACATGTACTTTCTTGGTACCTGGTCCACAGATATCAGGGCCTACAAAAGTGAAGGTTATGAATGTGAACACTTAAAATTAGTTTTTAAACACCAAAATTATATTCAATGATTTCATTAATATTAACACAAAGTTATTTGATAAACTTTGTAATCTATTTCTTCTATATAAATAGAATTTAACTCGTCTTAAAGTTTTGTACTTACCAAACATAATCAAGTAAGGAGAGTCTCCATGAAGATTCTTCTGGTCAAGATCACTGCTATAGAGCTTGGCATATCCACCACCACAATCAATGTTCTGTTCATGTTTCACAGTAAACTGGAGAACAAGGGGTTTGTTTTCATTGCTGAACGAATCAAACTTCGCTGAAATCCCATAGAATTTGGCATCTTGGGAAGTTTTTAGACCTTTGTCTTTTTCAGCATCTCCGTAGAATTTTCCAGCAGAATGAACAAATTTTCCTTGATCACTACCTTTGAAGGTAGAATCGACCCATTTTGTTCGCCATGTATCATCTGAAAAGGAATACAATGTAAATTAACATTGGTTCTATAAAGCAGAAACATCTATAGCAAATTCTCTAAATTGAATAGTTGAAATATTAGTAAACACTAAACAGTCAACACTAATCAACGTAGCATCAGGTTTTGAATTTATTTTCATAATTTTAAAAAGATTACTTGTCACTAAAGTAAAGTTTAAGAAGGAATTTATGGTTAAAAAAAAAAAAAAAAAGCCTAACTTGTTTATGCCAATCTTGTTTCACTAGTTTCAGCATTCATCTTCATATTGCATTCCTTTATTTTATTATTTCCTCACTAACTCACATTATTTAAGAATAATGTATATACCAAAATCAAATCTAAAACAAAGATAATTGAGAAAATAGAAACTTCAGTAGTAGTTTCAACAGAAATATTTACATATCAACATTGAGAAGAGATCAAGTACCTTGTTGAATACCAACCAGAAGTTTTTTTAGTAAACAAACCGTTCTGACCGCAGTTCTATTGCTCTTTATGTAATTGAGCGATGAAAAAAAAAAAAAGGAAACATTATGGGCCATTGACGACGAGGATCATGATGGATGAAGAAATGAAACAAGTAGTTGTTGACCGGGTTAACGATTATGAAGTTGTCGAGAACAGAAAAGTATGCCAAAATGAGTGAATAATGAGGCTAAGACTACAAATCGCTTCCTTTTTGCTTAGGAGACAAACAAAGAAGAGACTATCTAATCAACGACGAAACAAACCAATTCTCCGTCCCGTAGTTTTTTTTTTTTTTCTACACGAGCCCACATTTAACTAAAGTGGTTTGGTTGGTTAGACAGATTAATTGACAATAAGCTATTTTTTTTATTACAATTAGCCCCCCCACACACCCAATACATACCTTTCCTTGCACACTGAAGTCGGTAGTACAAACATTTATTTTAAATTTGATATTGCAGTGTCGGAACGTTCTCGATATAGAAATAAGAACATTTCATATAATCTGAATATTTAAGCGATAAAAAAAGTAATTAAAAGAAACTAAAAACTAAAAAGCCTATCTCCCTTGTCTTCAATATTCACCATAAAGATAGGGTGGGGAAAAAAAAAAAAAAAAAAAAAAACGGGAAATGCCGGCAGATGAAGGTTGAAAGCAGCAAGGAGTTATTACTTTTTAGTCAGACAAATTAAATTTGCTACTTAGAAAAAATTCGCTTATCATATAGAGAGGTAGACAGTAGTGGTAATGCGGCAATCAACATGAAATCGATTCATTAAATAAGAGACCGAAGAGGAAAAAAAATGGTGCCAATATGGCAGAGGTAAAAGTTTTGTACGCTAGCGTCTTTTTTAATCTAAAAAAATTAAATTTTTTAGCAAGACATTTGAGAATCCATCCTCAAGTTTTTTTCTCGATCTCCATAGAAATAAACTAGAAAATTAAATGAATTGGGACATCTATAAAACTTTTTGTTGCACTGACAAACATTTAAAAAAAAAAAAAAAAAAAAATCTAGAGTTTCTTAAATAGGTACACCATAAAAAGAAACAAACAAAACCAAACATTTAATAACAGCTGATATAAACATGGATATGATCAGAATATTCTCTTAAAAGGGTAGAAGTCGGGGGGGTAATCATTTCCGTATAGCAACAAGAGGACTGAAAAGAAAACGATACTATTTTTTTTTAACCAGGTAAAAAAAAAAAAAAAAAAAGTTTTCACAGGGAAAATGGATTTGATTTTTTTTTTTTAATCACATATTTGAAGATTTTATTGTTGCCATTTTCAAAGAGGAAATCAAGAGTTTACTTTACTATTTACTTTCTCATACACGAATTTGATATCAGAAGCTATTTTGACATCACTGTCCATAACAGAACTTAAGGCATTTGACATGATTGTCACAATTTTAAAAAGTAAAAACATCTATACATTTTATTAACAGATTCTGATGCATTCAAGAAGACCAGTGAAGAAAGGAAAAAGAAAAGTCGAGATTTAACAAACTTAGAGAAAATAAATACAAACATACTGAAAAGATTAAATTAGGATTTGATGGAAAAGACGAGTAGATTTTAAATTAAATTTTAATGGTCCTCATAAAACAAATAGAAAAACAGTTTTTTTTTTTACAAATATAGATGCTTAAAAGTTACATTTAAATTAATTTACGGCTACTTACTTTTTTTCACAAAAAGAAAAAAAACGTTTTAATGAAAAACGGCGTTGTTGTTGAAAGATCAACATTTTTTCCTTTATTCGTACAAACGTAAAGAGCCAAAAATGACAGGCTTTTTTTCGTTTTTTTTTTTTTTTTCAGACATAGGCTCTTAGAACAAATAGAATCAACGTGAGCTTTAAGAAAGATCTATTATTTATAAGTCTTTTTTACAAACATCTCGACCGGGAAAAAAATCACACCATCGTATCAAATATGTTTAATTTATATAGCGGCTTTCTTGGATGAAATAATTAGATTTCCCCCATTTTGAACGCGTTTTCTGCTAGACAGTCACATCACGAAAAGACAAAAAGTGATCAGTTAACTATTCAGCAAAGTCCCAAAATAAATAAACATACTAAAAATATTAGAGTCACACTTACCCAAAAATTCATCTTTGAAATGTATTTTAGCACTGCAATATGCAGCTAAAACGAAACATAGAGCCAGACCACATGCGAATCGTAACATCTTGACTACTCAGCACCGACTGAGAAAATTAACTGTTTTGTAGCCGCCCTAAGTCCATGTGATTAGACAGATGGAAGCAGCTGATTGGTCGAACAGCAACCAATCGGACGCCACCACGCGCAGTGCAGCCGTTGTACGAAAACAGCAGACGATCATAAACGTTGATGTATTAATTTCTATGGAAGCTCAGCAGAACCAAAAATTAAATTTTTTAATATTTGATGTATTTCCAATAAACATACACACACACACACACATATAGACATGTAACAATATAAAGCCGCTTTGCTAATCTAGCAGCTCACTTCAGCTTGGTTCTAAATAAAAGCTCCAAACCCCAAAAGTTTAGTAAATCTTTGCACATCCAGTAATGTAGTGTTTGTATAAATTCTGATGTAAAGTAATTCTTAATATGTACAGTGTTTATATTCTTTTTACATTGATAATACTCTTCTAGATCAGAACATTTTGATACAGTGCAATATTTTGAAGTTGTATTAATAGGCAAAGCTTAATAAATAAAATAAAAATATTTCTTAAATCCTTTCAAAAGTATCATCTACCTATCATCTTCTTAACACCTCATTAACATTAACACAGACATTCTTAAGAACAAGTTAATCAGCTGTAGTGAATCCTGATAAAAATAAAATAAAATATAAAAATAAAATATATAAATAAAAAATAAAAAAGAATTCAAGTTAAAATAAGGCATTTGCACTTTCATTTAAAACTTTTATCTCTTTCTTTTTCGCTGATTAAATATCTCTTTCAATACTTCTCTCAATTAACAAGAAGGCAATCCTCAAATAAAGAGGAAGAAAAGAACCTGGCTGAAAAATGCTGAAAGTTTGAAAGACGAGAGCCTGTTAATTTGTAAATGAAAACTACCAAAAATCAGGGAAGCTCCACACATATCTTCTGTTATAAAAAATAAAATAAATTTGACCAATCAAAAAAATTAACACAGAGACTTTTGATGTTAGCCAAAATTAAGGTTTGTGTCAGAGTCTCGGAGATTGGTCAAAATGATATAAGCTCACACCTCTGAGCTAGGGGGGAAGAAGGGTTGACAAGAGACGGGACTGCTGGAGAAACCAGCCATGCATGACACGTAAAGAAGTAGTTAAGAGGTCATCTGCTAATCATATTTCTGCCCTGCTTAGGGCCAAGAAAAATACAGTAGATTGACACTGACCTATTTCTAAGATGACTCTGACTATTATCAAGTGCCAACTTCCAAACTCTCAAATACTTTCTCCAATCTTCTGCCAATATCTGCCTTATAAATGAACATTTTGTTACACCAAATATCAAAGGGCTCACTCTAAAGTGAATAAATAAAAATATATTATATATTATTTACCTTTCACCACAGTTCCTTTTATTTCTGAAGTTCTGGTAAATAAATACAAAGTACCATCCTGTCAAAATACCACCCAATTAACCTTGTTTCTGAAACCAAACACTTGGATAAGAAAAACAAGAAATTAAAAATCCAGTGTCAAAGTGAAGGACAATCAAACATGCACTCTCCAACCACTTACCAACTACAATATACATGCAGTAGCAGCATTCTTAAAATTGTAAAAGCTTAGAAAATCAGTTGTAGGATTATCCAAAAATAATCTGTAAGTGTAAGCGTTCTCAAAGCAAATTTGTCGCAGATTACTCTCCCAACAAACGCCGTAGCCAAAAATGCCCGAAATTTTCTTTTACTACACTTCCCACTTCTTCGGAGCGGGGCGACTGTTGGAGGAGATTGTGTGTTATGTTCTGAGGTTTCTTCTGATCTGACAACCTCATGCGCAGAGTCTTCATCATCTGAAGAATGTTCTGAAGATTCATCTACTGAGGATTCTTCTGGTCTGACAACCTCACACACAGAGTCTTCACCATCTGAAGAGGTGGTAGCCCTACCTCCAATGGTAATTATTTGTTCACTTTCTGAGCACTCACTGCTAGTGTCACTTGTTGACGTATCTGTACCTACATAGCAACGCAAGTCCTTTATGTGTCTTGGTATGCCATCAACCAGCACAGAGTGCAAGTTACTTAGTCCAGTGACATGCCCCCCCACTTCGGGTTGTACACCAGCTATGTGGAGCTTTCACCCACAATTGAGCAAACCAAAATAGCTGGTTAAGTGTAAGTGTTCTCAAAACAAATTTGTCGCAGAGATTACTCTTAAACAAAACACCGTAGCCAAAAATGCCCGAATTTTCCTTTCACTACATAATCTTATATATTAATAGCCAATATATAATAGCTAAAAACATAATTAAAGAGACATTCTACGTTGATTTTTTATACCAGCAATACAGAGAATTTTATTTTAACATGTGTAGCTTCCTTTTCATTACACATCACCAGCAATACGTTATTGTTTTTGTTTATATGCAGTGTCTATATCAAGCATAATGTTATTTATTTTAACAAGCTTATTTTGCCTAAATCTAACATTCATCCATGCATTGAGTATTGCTGCCATATCTGGTCTGGCACTCAAGCAATATATCTTGAGATTCTCAACAAAATCCAAAGAAGGGTCTGTAATATTATTGGTCCTGACCTAGCAGTTTGACTTCACTCTCCCACCACAATGACATTCTGACTTTTCTATAAATATTTTCATGACAATTGTTCTAATGAGCTCTGCTTCTTGGTACCTCGAACACATGAATTTAAGCGTACTACTAGATTGGCTACTAAGTTTCAATGAAATAACAAGATACAACTATGCTAATAGTTTCTTTTCTTGCACTTCACACCTGTGGAATTTTCTTCTAATTTCTTACTTCACTGCCACCTACAATCTTCAAAATTTTTAATGCAATATTAATTGCCATCTACCATCTTCCCGAATCTGTTCTTTTATTGTCCTTTCTCCTCACTAAAGTCTTCTTGCCAATGTTTAACCTTCATGCCTGCAAAAAACAGTGTGTCAAGAGGATGTTTTTTTCCCTTGCCACTGCTACTATTTTAACTACCTGATCTTCTCAGCAATGCTTATTGTTTTAAAAAGTGATGATTAGAATTGTAATAAAATTTAAACATATAAAAAGTGAATTTATACACTTTCTTTGTTCTTGAGAATTGACAACAAAATATTAACACTATTTCATTGTTAAAATTGATAGTTGCATTTGTAAGTTCTATGCTCATTGTTTCATCTATCACAATTCTCACTTGTGGAATTCTTTTCCCGTTTCCTATTTTCCTGTCAACTACATTCTTCAAAAATTTAAATACAATGTCAATCATTTTCTTTTGCCTCCTTAAATACTGCTCTTTTATTGTCTTCTCTGTTTCTTTCACTCTCGGTAACTTCTTGTGTCTTAGTGGCTTTATTGCTTTGTTTGTTGGCGAAAGGATTGAAAGAAACACATGCACATACACAAGAACTTCAATCAATAAATCTATAGATTAAGATGTAGGCATTAGCTAAGTTTTGATCTGAAATTTTCACCTTGTAAGGTTCAATCAAAATTATTAATATTCTTAACACTGAACTAACTGTATCAATAAGGAAGATTATATTGAAAAATAAATATTTATTGCATGGAAGAAATGTTTTTATCATTAGGCATCTAAATTTATCTCAGAAGAGTGCTTAATATTGGAGCTTTTATAGGTACAGATAGTGTGGACATATGAATCAACACTTCATGTTAATTCCTAGCTCCACCCCACTCTCTCTCTCTCTCTCTCTCTCTCTCTCTTTGTCTGTCTTTGTGTGTGCGTGTCTCTCTCTCTTTCTCTTATATATATATATATATATATATATACATATATATATATAATTAATACAAATATAAAGTTTGTCATTTAGTTGATTGGTGTTATCTTCAGTATCCCAACACCAGAGTTACATAGATGCACCCTCCAGTAATCACTCTCCATTCGTCAGGGGATATCAGCAAGTGATTGTTTATATTTCTCATTTTTTTTATATATGCACTTTTCATTGGTTCAAGGCTGATTCTTTTTTCTTTTACTTTTTATTTTCCTTTCATAGTGTGTGTGTGCATGGTCACACTCATGCATCTGTCTGCGCATATGTGTAGAATTTGTTTGTTTAATGGCATATCAATTCCTTATGAGAATGCTGAAATTTAATTTTCTGAGTAGCTTTGAAGTAATAAAAATATGATATATTTTATTCTGTTTTCGCAATTCAATACATGGTAGATGATACTTGGCTTTTGTGCATATGCATATTTGTGTGAACATAATTACAAGAAGCAGTGATATGTGTTTTATGTTGTAGTTTTGTTGAAGTTATATTTTGGAATACAGTTTGACTTAAGAAATTGTAGGATACTATATGGATTAATGTCATAAAAAGAGTTCTTTCAGGTTGATTGATATATTGTTGGTAATTTTACTATAAATAGGTATTGTTAGTCATTTTTTTATATAAAAATCAGAGGCCTTGCTGCCAGATGTAGTTGTATGTGTAAAGTGTTATAGTTATTTCTCTTTTTTTTGTTGTATTTCTTGTCACTTGATACTATGATATTATTACATATAAATCAATATGATGGAGTATCTATGTATCATGTAGTATCAGGTATATTGAAAGATGATATGAATAAATATCACAATGTTAACAAAATCAGCCATATTTTCTTAGTTACTTATCAAATGTGATTTATCTATGTTTGTCTTTTGGTGTTATATTTTAAAATATTCTGATAAACAAGGCCTTATAATTTTGTTTTTTTACCTAGTTGCAAATTTCTTTGTAACTCTCCTCCTCTTCCTCTACCACCATCTCTTCCTCCTCCCCAGTGTCATTCTCCTGCGGAATATAGGACCATTTTCTCACTACATGATGCATTGCTGCAGTGGGCCCTAGCAAATAGGACTAACCAAAGCTAGAGATGCAAGTAGCAAGTAGGCATTTATTGGTGGAATTCCTAACCCATGCCCAAGTGGTTTTGAATTGAGAGTTGCTCTTCTACTAGACTGGTTGACAATCAAAGCTAGAGACCCCA